TTAATTTAACCTTAGGGCTTGATTTAGAAATCCTTAAGATGTACGATATGAAAGTAAGTTTGACATCACTTCCAAAATTCATATTTATTGCTCTTTTTTACAGATTGAATACTTTACTATCAAAACTTCACTTCATGTTTAATTAACTCCCTGAATGAGCTTAAACATTATCTTGTTTTATAATTGCTCCCAAGAGGAAAAACTACTGCCTGAGATGACCGGGTTTTGTTCAGGTTAACACGTCAAGGTAGAAAGAGGTCTTGCAACACCTTATGACAAGAATGGCATGAAAACATTCATCCCAGGGCATCCAGAATAACACCGAATAGGAAACTGACCAAAAAAGGTTATCTTGCAAGAAGGGTTATCCGCAAACCAATATTAACCAGAATTCACTGCTGTCATCGTGTTACTTGGGCAAGTTGCATTTCAACTTACAGTTACGACGATGGCGACATGTCATCTTTTCAGATGAGTCCTGTTTCGGGCTTCTTAAAGCTGATGGTAGGATTCGTGTTCGTCGTTTGCCTGGAGAACAGAAGATGGAAGACTGTCTTTCGCATAGGGACACACAGGAGGTGGTTCAGCACATGTTTGGGCAGCTATTTATCATGGTGGAAAACTGCTCTTCATATCCTCCAGCGAAACATTAATGTCACTTCATACAGACATGGCATTGAGACGATATCTCTGCAATATACTAGGGTAAGGTTTGGCAATAACCTTGTGTTACAGGATGACATTGCTATTGCCCATAGTGCACAGAATTATCTCGACCAGGAGGACATTACAAGATTGCCTCGGCCAGCAAAGTCTTCAGATTGTATTCCCATTGAGAACTGTTGGGCAGAACTGAACCGAAAAATGCTAACCACAACTCTAAACCAGCTTCTGTGGACGAGTTGCAGCGCCTACTAGTGGCAAGTTAGGATAAAATCACGGTGGATAACATCAATAACCTTATCGACGGCATGCAACGTCGCCTTGCAGAGGTTATTAAGAGTACAAGGAAGACCAACCAAGTACTGATATAAGGTTACAGACGCTATTTATAATAATGTGATATTATATTTTGACATTATATGAGTTTTGGTAAAGTTTTGTTGTGATAGGTGACATGCTGAATTATATATCTTTCTACAGGTGTCTGATAAAATTGTTTGCTATTGTAATAAATCTTTCATGATATCAATAGAACCATTTATTATACAAATTACAT